CGGCCGGCCGGCCGGCCGGAAGCGCCTCTGCCTCCGCTCCGGGCAGGCCACATCGGGGGCGCCCGCGTCCAGCCGGCCCACGGGCCCCCAGCTCGGGCAAGAACGAAACGCGACGATTCGGCAATCCCCTCCGAGCATTTCCGCACAGACGCAGCAGTCTGGCAAGCTGTGGGATGATCCGGGAGTAGGGGCTCCTGTCCTGAGTCCGCCCGAGACTCGGAAAGGTCGGAGTCGCGGCTCTAGTCGTCTTTCCTCGGAGACCTTTTGTCCCCTTACCGAACCCGAAGTCTTAGATCGGGGGCGGGCAAGTCATCGAGGGCAGAAATATGTTAATTGTCTAAATTCTGTAGAGGCCCCGCAGACGGGATACAATAGCGTGGCAGGCCGCATCTGGCCCACGGGCCGCGTTTTGCCCACCCCTGTCTTAGACCGTGGCGTGGTGGAGCCATAGCCGGCCGCGGCTGTTATTGGGAATGATGTTCCTGTTATTTTGTTCTGCGTATAATTTTGGCACCCCTGCACATTTTGGCGCCCTAGGCAACTGCCTAGTTTGCCTAATGGTTGGACCGGGCATCCAACCGAGACGGCAGGCTTGGGGTTGGGAGGCCCCCCACTTTTTCAGCCGTACAGTCACAGGCGCCAGCTGCGGAGGTGTCCCCCCTTGCCATAATGTAGCCAGCCAGAGCCTCCTTCCTGGTCAGGTATACGGCCAGCTTGGCTAGGGCCAGCAGGAGGTGGACCGGGAGGTCCCAGGCCTTGGTGGGGACGTGGACAGGGAGTCGTAAATAAACAGGCGGGGGGCTCATGCAGCCAGGACCTCAGCAAGAGGTTACGGAGGAGGCGGTGCAGGGGCTGCACCCTGGCACACCACAGGAAGGCATGCGCCAGGGGCTCCCTCTGCTTGCAAAAGGGGCAGGTGTCGGGGGTGTCCATAAACCGCGCCAGATACACGCCTGTGGCATCGGCTCCGTGCTGAGGTTCCCGGTGGCTCACATGCTTGCCAGGAGCCTCCACTCGTGTTGGTGCTCTGGCCCTGGACCACCTTGTCATCCTAGGGCAAGGTGTGAGGACGTGGCATCAGAACTGCCACAGGCTGCGTGGGAGCAGAGGGGCATCTTGCAAGCCGCTGAGATGAGGACTTGAGGGGCTGCTTGCATCCACCCTGCTGAAGGGTGTTAGTAGGAGCGTTGCCAGCAGATTGAGGGAAGCGATTCTTCCTCCCTGCCCCTGGTGAGTCCACATCTGGAGTCCTGTGTCCAGCTGTGGCCCCCCACTACAGAAAGGATGTGGACACAGTGGAGAGAGTCCAGCGGAGAACAACAAAAATGGTTGGGGACTGGGGGACAGGAGTGGTGAGGAGAGGCTGAGGGAGCTGGGCTGATCTTGTCTGCAGAAGAGAAAATTGAGGGGGACTGAATAGCAGCTGTCAACAACTGGCAGGGTGGGTCCAGAGAGGACGGAGCTGGGCTGTTCTCAGTGGGGGCAGATGACAGAAGGAGCAATGGGCTCCAGCTGCAGCAAGGGAAGTTGAGGTTGGATATTCAGAAAAATGTTCTCACGAGGACGGTGGTGAAGCCCTGGAGCAGTCTACCCAGCAAGGTGGTGGGATCTCCATCCTTGGAGGTTTTTAAGCCCCAGCTGAACAAAGCCCTGGCTGGGATGATGTAGTTGGGTTGGTCCTGCTTTGAGCAGGGGGTCAGACTAGATGTGACACACCAGGGATTTATAAGAGGGCATTGTGATACAGTGGATGAAGTGCCATTGGCACGGCGCAGGACACATGGATTCTGCCCTGAATTCCAGCTTTTGGCTTGTTTTCAAGAATGGGAATGGAGTCAGGATGTACTTCAGGTCTGAATTCAGAAAGGAGCTTCATAGGGCCTTGTGTACACATGGCTTGGTAGAGATGTGTTACCGTTGTCTTAAAAAGCAGCAAAAATATAGGGTTGGTTACTGAAACAACAGCAAGACTGTGGGCAACACCCCTGCCATGGCAAACCTCTGCATCCCCTGCCCAGTGCCCTGCGCCCCCCCTTGGCACTGCTGTGTGACCCAGCCCAGCTGTCCTTGCAAACTGGAGCTAAGGGATTTTGGTAAAAACCCTCAATTCTCAGATTATGTCACAGTTGCAAACCTCCGCAGGGCTGTTATAAGCATTTTAGGAAAGTCAGGCTGGGGGGTCATGAGGTTTTTTAGTCCCGTCCCCTGCTCAAGGCAGGATCATCCCTGACTCGACCATCCCAGCCACGTGTCTGTCCAACCTGCTCTGTACTGGACTCTTTCCATCTGTCCGCATCCTTCGTGAGATCTGGGGCTCAACCCTGGACACAGGTGAGGCCTCACCAGTGCCGATTAAAGCAGCAGAATCGCTGCCCTC